GGCAAGCCAGAAAGGCCTGGGAAGACATATTCAGGGTACTAAATGAGAAGAATATGCAGCCAAGAATACTTTATCTAGCAAGGCTGTCATGTAGAATGGATGGAGAGATACAGAGCTTCCAAGACCAGCACAAAATGAAAAAATATGTGACCACTAAGCCGGCCCTGAAACAAATGTTAAGGGGGATTCTATAAAAGGAGAAAGACCCCAAGAGTGATATAGAACAGAAATTTAGAGAGACAATCTATAAAAACAAGGACTTCACAGGCAACAAGATGACAATAAGTTCATATCTTTCAATAATCACTCTCAACATGAATGGCCTAAATGCTCCCATAAAATGGCACAGGGTGGCAGATTGGATAAAAAGATAAGACCCAACCATATGCTGTCTAAAAGAGAATCATTTTGAACCTAGAGATAAATCCAGACTGAAAGTGAAGTGATGGAGGTCCATCTTCCATGCCAAGGGGATTCAAAAGAAAGCTGAGGTAACAATTCTTATATCATACAAATTAGATTTTAAGTTAAATACTGTAGTTAGAAACACAGAAGGACACTATATCATTCTTAGGGGTCTATCCAAAAAGAAGATCTAACAATTGTAAATATCTATGCCCCCAACATGGGAGCAGCCATCTACATAAGCCAACTGTTAACCAAAAAAAAGAGTCATATTGATAAAAATAAGTTAAGTGTAGGAGACCTCAATACTCCACTCTCAGCAATAGACAGATCATCTAAGCAGAAAATCAACAAAGAAACAAGAACTTTGAATGACACACTGGTCCAAATGGACCTCATAGATATATACAGAACATTACACCTTAAAACAACAGAATACTCATTCTTCTCGAGTGCACATGGAACTTTCTCCAGAATAGACCACATACTGGGTCACAAATCAGGTCTCAACTGATACCAAAAGATTGAGATTATTACCTGCATACTCTCAGACCACAATGCTTTAAAACTGGAACTCAATCATAAGAAAAACTTTGGCAGAAATTCAAACACTTGGAAGCTAAAGACCACTCTACTCAAGAATGTTTGGGTCAACCAGGAAATCAAAGAAGAACTTAAACAATTCACGGACACCAATGAGAATGAAAACACATCAGTCCAAAATCTATGGGATACCGCAAAGGCAGTCCTAAGGGGGAAACATAGCTATCCAAGCCTCACCAAAAAAAAAAAGAAAAGAAAAGAAAAGAAAAATCCTGAATTCACCAACTAACTTTACACCTTAAAGAACTAGAGAAAAAGCAACAAATGATGTCTAAGCCATGCTTTAGAAGAGAAATAATTAAGATTAGAGCAGAGACCAATGAATTAGAAACCAGAAACACAGTAGATCAGATCAACAAACTAGAATTTGGTTCTTTGGAAGCATTAATAAGATCAATAAACCACTGGCCAGACTTATCCAAAAAAAAAAAAAAGAGAGAGAAAGGACCCAAATCGATAAAATTATGAATGAATGGGGAGAGATCACAACTAACACCAAGGAAATAGAAACAATTATTAGAAATTATTATTAACAACTCTATGCCAATAAATTAAGCAACATGGAAGAAATGGATGCTTTCTGGGAAACCTATAAACTGCCAAGACTGAAACAGGAAGAAACCAACAACCTGAATAGGCCAATAACCAGTAACGACATTGAAGCAGTGATCCAAAACCTCCCAAAAAACGAGAGTCCACGGCCTGATGGATTCCCTGGGGAACTCTACCAAACATTCAAAGAAGAAATAATATTTATTTTCCTGAAGCTGTTTCAAAATATAGAGATGGAAGGAAAGCTTCCAGACTCATTCTATGAGGCCAGCATGACCTTGATCCCTAAACCAGGCAAAGACCCCATCAAAAAGGATAATTTCAGACTGATATCCCTGATGAATATGGATTCCAAAATGCTCAACAAAATCCTAGCTAATAGGATCCAACAATACCTTAAAAGAATCATCCACAACAACCAAGTGGGATTTATCCCTGGGATGCAAGGGTGGTTCAACATTCACAAATCAATCAATGTGAGAGAACACATTAATAAGAGGAGAGAGAAGAACCATATGGTCCTCTCAATTGATGCAGAAAAAGCATTTGACAAAATACAACATCCTTTCCTGATTAAAACTCTTCAGAGTATAGAGTTAGAGGGAACATTCCTCAAGTTCATAAAACCCATCTGTGAAAAACCCACAGTGAATAGCGTCCTCAATGGGGAAAAGATGAGAGCCTTTCCCTTAAGATCAGGAAAATGTCAAGGATGCCCACTCTCACCACTATTGTTCAACATAGTACTAGAAGTCTTAGCCACAGCAGTCAGACAACAGAAAGAAATAAAGTATTCAAATTGGTAAGGAGGAAGTCACTCTCTCTCTTCGCAGAAGACAGGATACTTTATGTAGAAAACCCAAAGACTCCACCCCCAAATTACTAGAACTCATACAGCAATTCAGTAATGTGACAGGATACAAAAATCAATGCACAGAAATCAGTTGCTTTCTTATACACTAACAACACAACTGTAGAAAGAGAAATTAGAGAATTGATTCCATTTACAATAGCACCCAAAAACATAAGATACCTCACAATAAACCTAACCAAAGAGGTAAAGGATTTATATTCTAGGAACTACAGAGCACTCATGAAAGAAATTGTAGAAGACACAAAAAGATGGAAAAACATTCCATGCTCATGGATTAGAAGAATAAACATTGTTAGAATGTCTATGCTACCCAGAGAAATTCTATACCTTCAAGGCTATCCTGATCAAAATTCCAGTGACATTTTTCAAAGTGCTGGAACAAGCAATCCAAAAACTTGTATGGAATCAGAAAAGACCCCAAATCGCCAAGGAAATGTTGAAAAGGAAAAACAAAGCTGGGGGCATCATGTTGCCTGATTTCAAGCAATAATCCAAAGCAATGATCACCAAGACAGCATGGTACTGGCACAAAAAGAGACATATAGACCAATGGAACAGAATAGAGAGCCCAGATATGGACCCTCAACTCTATGGTCAAATAATCTTCAACAAAGCAGGAAAAAATATGCAATGGAAAAAAGAGTCTCTTCAATAAATGCTGCTGGAAACATTGGACAGCTATATACAAAAGAATGAAACTCGAACATTCTCTAACACCATACACAAAGATAAACTCAAAGTGGATGAAAGACCTCAATGTGAGACAGGAATCCATCAAAATCCTAGAGGAGAACATAGGCAGTAACCTCTTCGACATCAGCTATGGTAAATTCTTCAAGATATAACTCCAAAGGCTAGTGAAGCAAAAGCAAAATTGAACTTTTGGGACTTCATCAAGATAAAAAGCTTCTGCACAGCAAAGGAAACAGTCAACAAAACAAACAGGCAACCCACAGAATGGGAGAAGATATTTGCAAATGACACTACAGACAAAGTGCTGATTTCCAAGATTTATGAAGAACTTCTCAAACTCAACACCCAAAAACTAAATAATCAGATCAAAAAAATGCTCAGAAGACATGAACAGACACTTCTCTGAAGAAGACATACAAATTACTAACAAACATGAAAAAATGCTCATCATCATTAGCCATCTGGGAAATTCAAATCAAAACCACAATGAGATACCACCTCATACCAGTTAGAATGGTAAAAATGGACAAGACAAGAAACAACAAATGTTGGAGAGTTTGCGGAGAAAGGGGAACCCTCTTCCACTGTTGGTGGGAATGCAAGTTGGTACAGCCACTTTTGAAAACAGTGTGGAAGTTCCTCAAAAAATTAAAAATAGAGCTACCCTATGACCCAGCAATTGCACTCCTGGGTATTTACCTCAAAGACACAGATGTAGTGAAAAGAAGGGCCATATGCACCCCAATGTTCATAGCAGCAATGTCTGCAATAGCCACACTGTGGAAAGAGCCGAGATGCCCTTCAACAGACGAATGGATAAAGAAGATGTGGTTCATATGTACAATGGAATACTACTCAGCCATCAGAAAGAATGAATACCCAACTTTTACATCAACATGGATGGGATTGGAGGAGATTATGCTAAGTGAAATAAGTAAGCAGAGAAAGTCAATTATTATATGGTTTCACTTGTTTGTGGAACATAAGGAATAGCATGGTGGACATTAGGAGGAGGAAGGGTAAAATGAAGGGGGGAGGGAATCGGAGGGAGAGATGAACCATGAGAGACTATGGACTCCATGAAACAAACTATGAGTTTTATAGGGAGGGGGGTGGGGTGATGGGTTAGCCCGGTGATGGGTATTAAGGAGGGCACATACTGCATGGAGCCCTGGGTGTTATACGAAAACAGTGAATCATGGATCACTACATCAAAAACTAATGATGTATTGTATGGTGACTAACATAACATAATAAAATTAAATTAAATTAAAAAAAGATAGCATGACTTTGAAATTCTTACTCTCCTTACCTTTAAACTGATATCCTAAGAAACAAAACTATATACTGGGCAGAGATGATACATGTACCTCAGTGGATCAAAATCTAGATTTACATCATAGCTATCAATATTCTAGGTAAATACTTGGTTGGAGTAACTTCCTAAGCTTTCATTTGAAATGCCCAAATAAGCATATATTTTAAAAATCTCTTTTGATTGTTGGGGTAATATCTTTTCTCCATTACAGCAACTCAGTTTTTCAAATGTAACTATCAAATGGTGAGTCATTTAAACATAGTTAACAAAGTGCATATATATGTCAGATGTTTCTGATCAGGCATAATGAAAGAGCATAAAGTGAAGTTTCCAACCACAAGCACAGAAAAACTTCAGGCTGATATGTAATTTATTAACATTAAATAAACAAGCTTCAGGTAAGTGTATTTTTTTTTTACTACTAAAATAATTTATCTGAAGCCAGTATAAATCTATTCTGTTTAGGAAATGTGGTTGCAAGATACAGCACTGGCATGTTAATTCAGTTACTATCTAATATTTATATGTGCAACAAATAAGCAAAAATCATTTTACCTTTATTATCCCTTTGGAATTTTTTGATGTTTGGTCCATTATCCTGATCAACAGTAAGTTCCTCTCTATTGTTGGGCATCATAGCTATAAATAAAAGAAAAAAATGAGTAATTTTCTTGCAAAACACCCAAAAGAAAGGTAGAAAAGTATTATATAAATAACTATTTTACTCCAATAACAACTAACAAGAATTGCACACATCTCTATCTGAAACAGTGGAATCATTTGTGTTGGTTTGATGATTATGTAATTTAAAAATCAATAAACTGCTCAGTCATGTGAATTTTTAAAGTGGAATTAATATATAGTGCATATAAAATTGCCCACATATTTTTTAAATCATTTTAAATGTTTGCTCTTTTAAATTCATATGCAAATTCACTATTTACCTGCATAATTAATAATATAGTTCCCAAAATGTTTCTAGAAAGAATTTATCACTTAATTTCATGAGTTTAAAATCATTACCGATAACTCACTTTATTGAGTTTTTTTTTACAAATACATATATCAAAATTAATAGGTAAAGTATAACTTTCTGGTAATTATTATAGATGCTTCTTCACAAACCATTTATATTGAAAAAGGAAAAGCATGCCAATTTTCATAGTTTATCATTTAATTCTCATTTGTTATATTTTTTTAAATCATTATATTGCTAGGGGCTCCTGGGTGGCTCAGTCAGTTAAGTGTCTGCCTTTGGCTCAGGTCATGATCCCAGGGTCCTGGGGTCGAGCCCCACGTCGAGCTCCCTACTCAGTGGGGAGCCTGCTTTCCCTCTCCTCCCTGCTCATGCTCTCTCTTGCTATCTCTGTCTCTCTCTCTCAAATAAATTAATAAAATCTTTTAAAAAACATTATATTCACAGACCTGTACCTCTGAAACAAATAATACATTATATGTTTTAAATAAAAAAGAAGATAGTAGGAGGGGAAGAATGAAGGGGGGAAATCGGAGGGGGAGATGAACCATGAGAGACTATGGACTCTGAGAAACAAACTGAGGGTTCTCTAGGGGAGGGGGGTGGGTGGATGGGTTAGTCTGATGGGTGTTAAAGAGGGCACGTTCTGTATGGAGCACTGGGTGTTATATGCAAACAATGAATCATGGAACACTATATCAAAAACTAATGATGTAATGTATGGTGATTAACATAACATAATAATAAAAAAATAAAATAAAATAAAATAACAAAAACATTTTATTGCTCTATAAATAAAATATGGTCACTTTAAACCAAAAATCCTCAAACTTTTTTTTTCTTTTTTTGTTTATAGACAATCTCACAATCATGCTTGGACACCTGGGAATGTGCATAGACAGCCTAATTACTGCCAGTGGAATTAGAAATGTTTTATGTGGTTAATATATTTTTTAGAATATTATATTGTTTTAGAAATATTTGATTTTATTTCTAAGTGTAAGATACTATTCCCTTACAATATATCTATCACATAGTATATTTCCCTATGTGTTTTGCTCTTAGCCAGCCCTCAAATAATTCTCTCTCTCCCTTTTCCCTCTCCCCCACCCCTCATTAATACAAAGATTATCCTGACAGAATAATGTGTGTTTTGGTTTCTTGATTCGTTAATGGTATCTGGCTCTATCTGCTTTTCTTGCTCAGACTCCCTTAAATCAGTTGCACACAGTTGTAACAACCAGGTAGTCTGTGTCCCAAAAGCTGTGATAAAGTAAAGCTAGAAGACCCATCACCTTTTCCAGGAATTTAACTTACTCCCTTAGGGCCACTAACCTCACGTTCTAGCTCAGTGGTTCTTAACTCTGGTTGCACATTAGAATATCATGAGGAGACACTGAAAATCAAAACAAAGCAGTGCTGCCAGGCTCTATTCCAGACGAGGTAAATCAGACTCTGATGATGTAACCTGGGCATTCAGATCTGTAAATGTTCCATGATTGATTATAATGGGGTGCCAGATTTGAGACTCATTGCGCTTACTATGAGCCACAAACAATATATAATATTGACAGGCTAAATGAGACTTGGATGAATTTCCAGAAGGGAGAAATAATCTTCATTCTTCCTCAGCACAAATTCAGAAATTAACACCTCTGCTAATCCCTCAAATTCCTCTCCTACCCATAAAAAAAAAAAAACAAAACATTATTTTGGAGAGGCTTAAAGCAATCACTATTATGGTGTATAAAAACTTAGAGTTCATATAAAGAACATCTTTATAGAGTAAGACTAAAAGAGGAACAGAAATCATTTTTCCTAAAGGAACTGTATATTTAAGAAATTGGATTGTATAGATACAAAAGATTAATAAAGATTTTACCTATTTCATTTAGTTCATAATTATTATATACTAAATGAGAATTTGTTACAACTGAATGCACTTGGTAACATCTGTGTACCTAAGTAAAATCAGACAGCAAGGGATGATAAACAATCAAGGTAAAGCCACACAGACAATAAGAGTGCTTATCCCTCACATTTCCTTAGCACTTTAAACTTCTGAAGTGTTTTTCCACATATTATTTCATTTGACCTCACAAAAATCCAGTGCATTAGGCATGGCAGTAATTATTTCCATATATTAGGTAAAGAAACTCATGATGTTTAAGTGACATACCCAAGGTCTCATAGCTATTCAGTGCCAGAACTATGGCTAGATTCAAGTCTCCAATATGCCACATCACTGACAATACCATTATAGTATTTCTGGAATAGTGTCTATGATGTAAGGCTTCTGAGATAATAAAAAATAAACAAAGGGAAAAATATGTTAAATATTTTTGATCCAAATTATTGAGATTGTAGCAAATTATATCTTGATTCACTTTTTAATCACTCTTAAAAGATCAACTGTTTAAAAGATATTTTATCTTTCATTATTCAAAGATGCTGTGAATGTAACAAGTGTATTGTATCATGTGAACTGTTAAATATCAATATGTTGAACCAACATAATAGTCTACAAAAATCCCATCATATTGTTCCCATGGAATCCAGTGACACAGTAAATGAAGGCCCTTTCAGAGAGGAAATTTCTAACACTTTAAGTTTCATTTTGTTGTTCATATTGCTTCAACACTAAAAAAATGACCACTTCAAAAAGTTATTTTTATTAAGGAGGCATCAACCCCCCCAGCTCTCCCCTTTCTATTGACTAATGAAGAAATTCCCAAAAGGATATCTTTTAATTTTTTGTTTTAGATGAGATACTTACCCATCCTCTCTGAATGGTGATCCGTCTGAGAGGGAGAGCTGGACACACTGCTGCTGGGGTGGGAGGAAGTCTGACTCCCAGGATGATGATTCTCTTCCAGAGAGGGAACAGGAGAAGGACTCTCTGGGATCCGTTCCTGACACAAGGAAACACAACAGGAAATGCCATCTGTTCACCAAGTTTTTCATGTTGGTTGAGTCCATAATATTTGAAATGTTGACCTCTCAGTTATCCCAAAAGCATGCATGTTCATGATACTTTATCTTAAACGTGTATCTTTAGACAAATACATATTTTTTGTTCTTGTAAAATTAATGGGATATTATGAGGGCTAAATAAGAGAATGTGAAAGGGCTCAGTGCCATGCTGGATATATGTTAGAGGTTCAAGAAAGGTTAGTTTCCATTTACTTTCCTAGAAAATTCATGAAGAATTATGAACATAGGTATGCAGTGAAGATTACTATTATTATAAACTCTTAAATTTATATAAAGTATATGCCAAAGCCTGGAGGGTGATCCTACTCTCTAAGAAGATCTTCCAAAAGTAAAAACTTAAGAACCTAGGAATAAAACTCACAAATAGTGGCATCTGGTACATATTGAGTCTTTTGGCACAAATAAAAATTATGGAAACTACGGAAACAATATACATGCACTCTATCAGAACTTAAGAATTTATGTTGAATTCTGCCAGCAAAATGGTTTGGTAGTCACAGGACACAATGATAGGTTTTCCAAACTAACACTAAAACCTGTCAATATCAATTGCTTAGTATTATTTAGATTTTTATAGTTTTAAATAATGAATTTGAATAAAAATAAAACATTTATTTTACATACCTCTACAGTAACTGTTATAGTTCTCAAGACTTTTGTGATTATGAATATTGCTATAAAACTCTGAAATTATTCACTATGTTTATACATCACAACTTGATGAATAAATCTGACAATCATTCAATTAATTCAATCACTAGAAGAACCAAATTGCTATGTTTATGCATATATGCAATAAATGTGACAGGGTAATAGACATGCTGGGACAGAGAATGTTTGTTCTATAAAGTATTTAGTTCATCCATAATAAATTTCTTAAATGTTATAATTATCTGTAATTACATCAGTATTCTAATCATCATAACATTAAGAATTTGTTTTTCAAATAAGTACTTGTACACTTTCACATTGATTTTGCATGAGAGGCCTAAAATTTATAAATTCCCTAAAGAAAACTGTTGTTTGTTTAAATACAAAAGTAATAGCATGAGAGTTAAAGCTTATTATTTCATTAGCAGAAGTTAACATTTTGCAATGTCTATCATTGTAGCAGGCAGAATAGTAGCAGGCAGAATAGTGGCCCCCAAAATGGCCACTCCACATCCTAATGACTGAGACCTATAAATATGTTGCATCACATGTGAATATGTTACATCACATGGTAAATGGATTTTTCAGATGTGATTGAGAATATTGAGATAGATAAATTACACTTAGAGGCAGAAAGGGAAGGTCAGAGGAAGATATTATGGAAGAATAATGAGAGAAATGTAACCTTTCTGGCTTTGAAGATGGATGAAGGGAACCAGGAGGCAAGAAATGTGGGTGGCTTCTAGAAGGTGGAAAAGCAAGGAAATGGATTCATTGCTGGAAGCTACAGAAAGAAATGCAGCCCTGCCAACACCTTGATTTTAGCTCAGTGGCATCTATGTTAGACATCCGACCTACAGAACCATAAGAAAATAAATGTGCATTGTTACAAGCCACTAAATTTGTCATATTTTGTTATAGCAGAAATAAAACACTAATACAATCATCAATGTAGTTTTGTTTTTAAATGGTGTTTTATATTATTGTTTAGCATATAATTAACATCTGATATTTTTAATAAAATGAATAGTAGACTTTGAGTATATTAGCTGCAATATTATATCCTAATTAAATACTGATAATTATAATAAATTTATGTTACACTTTAAAGGCTCTATAACTGTTGTCATACCTCAAAAACAAATGTTTTAAGACATAGAAATATACATTTCATTTATATTTACTATACAGATAAATATCTACTTGTAACACTACATGTACAGCACAAAATTAAAAGAAACATATAAGCAAAGCAGAAGAAAAGAATCAAGATTTTATTTTCTAAATAATTACACTTGTATTCCAGAGTGATGGAATGGGGATAGACAGCAAGATATATATATCCTTTGTACTACATTCTTTTACTTTCTGAGAAGACTAGTAGTTCATTGATTGTGAAATTCAACTTAAACTGTCATGGTCAAAAATATGTTCTTTAAATAGTATATGTACACAAACACACACCAATGCAAGGATTTTTATATATAAGGTCAAAATTGTTTTGTTTTTGCTTTTTGTTTTTTTGGCTTTCACTGTCCTCAACGATTCTATGCCAAAATACATATATAAAGTGTAGAACATTCAGTGTTTGTCTTTGAGTTGTAACATTGAAAATTTGTTGAAAAAATATGTAATTCAATGAACTACATTTAAGTTTCATGGGCATCTGAATAAATGGACAGGGACAAAGTACAGCAGTTACTAGACAAAAATAGAACTGAGCAAACAAAATCACTGTATGGTGACAAACAGGAGTCATACACACAGCAATATATGCCACCATAATAAAAATGGAAAATTTTTAAGTTGTTTCATAAAATTGATTGTTTGGAAAAACAAGAGAATCCAACTGACAATGATACTTGCTCTTGGCCACTCTGCCTAATAAAAAATGAAAGCTCATTTTGAATTTTTTTTAAAAGTTGAAAGGACATCTACACAAATAGAAAAATGCTATGAAAATGAGAAAAAATACAATACTATAAAGGAAGATCCCCCCAAATGCTTAAAATTAGTAAGAGATCAAATAATATTAACTCAAATAACTTACTCTTCAACTCCGTCTTTGACATTTTCAACACCATATTAGGTGAAACAATAAACTAACTTTGAAAAAATGATTTATAATGAAGTACTGTATGGTGACTAACATAACATAATTAAAAAAAACATGATTTAGAGTGACAGTAACATTTTGCATAAAGTAATATATCTGCTTTAAGATTTCATTGCCTGCACTTTCCAAATTCAATCAAGGTTCAGTACATTGTTATTGTTTTCCTATGGCATCACAGAGGTCAGACTTTTTTCACCATGTAAACTGTATTATATAAGTTCAGTGCCTTATATTGATTAAGATTTAGGTGGGTTTAAAAATATATATATATATATCTGTGTAGAGCTGGAAATGTTTAATTTCTCTTAAATAATTAATAGTTCTATGAACAATTTCTTCTTTGCAAGTAAACAGATCCATTTTTCATCCCTATAATCAGTATGCATCTATTTAGCTACTTAACTGAAATGTGCTTTGGTTCATTAGGTGGCTACTGTTGTGTCTCAGCCTAGTTAAAATTTCACAGCAAGTTAATCTGTTTTATTACAAATGAGAACACAAGTGATAATGTACTCATCATTTGCCAAATACAGGGTTAACAGTATTTGCAACAAATCAATAGGGGTATTTAAAAACGAAAATTGCAACTCTAAAACTCCAATCATTTTTAGTCATTGATGACTTAATTTTATTTGGCATTTATGATTTTACAACCTTGTTACACTTCATGTATTTCATTTGGGCCCATTGACAACAGCTGTAGCTCTTCTGAAACACTACAGGTCTTCTCCTGATTCAAAGTAGCAAAGGGGAGACATTTCCAAAATTGATACATACTTACCCAATCAAATCCCCATTTCCCCTGCAATTAGTAAAATTATCTGTAATAACAACTCAGATTTTAGCATATATGTATAGTTCAAGGCTTACGCCTAAAATGAAAGAAACATTACAGAAAATGTTATTAATTAGTACATGCTATCCCCTCTTTTATCATACTTTTCCCCTTTTGGGAGGTATATATCACAAATGGTCAAAGGAGACATTCATCATATTAAATCATTTGAAAGTACACTTGAACCTTAATAAAAAATAGGGTCAACGCTTAGAAAATTCAGTTTTATACAAGGTTTAACACAGTCAGTTTGGTTTAGGATTTAGTTTATTGGCAGTAAAGTATCAAATCTGCCCATTTTCATGCAGATCCTTTATTTCATCTCAATATATTCCTTTATGTTCTTGGAAATATGGTGGTATACATGGAATGTATGAAGTACTAATAAATGCATATTAAACATGTATTTATATGTATGTGTACATGTGTGTAGTTGCCCTTTACTAACAACAGTATCAATCAATGTTAAATTGTTACCTCTGACATTTTATTATATTATTATCAAGTATTCAGTGTGATTATGTATTATATAATTTGTCTTTTTATTTTTAATTGGAATTCAACTCTCACTGTAATTATACTTCCAAATGTTAATCTATTAATGAGTTCCTAAAGGATTTAATGGCAGTTCACTACTGAGGAGTGGCTTTTGGAAGTTTGTCTGAGTGCTAAATATTTTATCCAGGCATTTGTCTTGATATTTTATATTAAATTGATGTGCTTCTTCTGTACTGTCGCCAGAGTTCCTGCAGAAACAGAACAGATTGTAACTTGACAGATTTTAATAATAAAATCAGGGACAGGGAAATGAAAAGTTTATTCATTGTTGCTGCTAATTTGGGTTACTACTATTCCTGAGGAAGAATACGAGGCCCAAATTTGGTTTCTGAATAATATTGGAAACATGACAACTTATGGATCATTACAAATCAGTTTAAGAATTAGTCTGGGGGGGGTGCCTGGGTGGCTCAGACAGTTAAGTGGCCAACTCTTGGTTTTGGCTCAGATCATGATCTTGGGGTCCTGGGATCAAGCCCGACATTAGGCTCCGTGCTTAGCAGGGAACCTGTGGATTCTCTCTCCCTCTCCTTCTGGCCCTACCCCTGCTCATGCTCTCTCTCTCTAAACTGAATAAACAAATAAATCCTTATTATAAAAAAAAGAATTAGTCTGTGTTCCACAATCACCAATTTACAATTTTATTAAAGTTAACATAAATGAATATGGCAGGTTTTTCTTGAATTAAAAAAAATAGGCAGATTGGGGATGCATCTGGAACATGTAACCATGAAACAGTCCAAAATCATAGGCATACC